GATGTTTTGGTGTTTCTTTAGCTCGAGGGAGATCGGGCAATTATTTGCAATAAGAGGAATAATGAAATCTGCAGACTATATCAAAATTCTGGATTAAAATATACAACTATTAGCGCAAAATCTTCATCTAGGTCGGCGATCTACTTTCCAGCAAGATAATGATCCCAAACATACGTCTAATTCAGTGACTTAGTGGCTTCAGAAAAAGATTTCGGTTCTGCCATGGCCTTCAATGAGTTCTGACTTGAATCCTCTTGAAAATCTATGGCAAGAATTGAAAGATCGAATAAATCATCGGTCACCAAAACTCCTTCAGGAATTAGAACATGTAACCATTCAAGAATGGAAAAAAATCCCCAAAAAGACTTGTTCAAATCTCATCAAAATCTTTAGAAAACGATTGCAACAAGTTATAAAGATGAGAGGCCATGACTATTAATATTGTGAAAATTGTTCAATTTTTTCTGTTTTTTATACTGTACGTATAATTTTGTCTTTTCCTATTTTGCATAATTCGCCGCTCAAATTTTGTTGTAATTAACCTATTGTTCTGAAAATTAAGTTTTACATTCCTTTTTCTGTACTTGTTAACATATAAAATCCAGGCATCATACGGGTATTAACTTCTGAGAAATGGATAAAAATATTAAAAATTGATTGGTGTACGAATCATTTCGTCGTTGATTATATATATATATACTTTCATACTTACTCAATAAGTATAGCATTAACTTCACAAGCGAATTGCTAGACATATTACAGTCTTCTCCTGTCGGGGCTTGGGTGATCATGGCTCTCCACAACTTCCTGTCCTTTATAGCTCTTAACAAATTTTGTCTTCCTGTTATTTCTCTTGAGCCCTGTTCCGCCATTCAGTTACCATTCAGTTCACTATGTTATGCGTTGTTTCCCTTTGTTCCTCTTATCTTCAGTGTGTATCAGTCTTTCCGAGCCCTCTTTCCTCACTATGTGCCCTAAAAACTTTATATACGCAACAATAATAATAATAATAGTAATAATAATAATAATAATGGCGCTTTCATAGTTTTAAGATATGTGCATTTAATACCGGTTGGAGTAAATGTCTGTAAAAAATGAAATACCTGATTGTATTTGTAGACCCCAACTGAAATCTAGGTTCAAATCCAGCTCGCTCTTTTTCTATTATTTTTTCATGTGACACTAGTCAATAAGGTAACAGCCCTCTAAATAATTGCAATAGAAAAGAAGCGACAAAAGGAAAAGATAAAGAAAAAGAAATCAAAAAATGATATATATAATTAGTTTTTTTAATCATTTCACCCCAAGCAAGGCAATAAAGCCACTAAGCCACAACGGGTTACTGAGTTTTAGAGAATATGAGAAAAAACATTAGAAAGAACAAAAAAATATAAGAGTCCAAAAGCGTCCTTGTTGGCAACAAATTGTTTTCTACCTTCCAACACCTCTCTCACAGGTGGGGTATGGCAAGCCTCTTACTGCTCTATTGCTAATTCCAAAGCAAGTACTCAGACGAACTACATTCTCTGGTCTTGCCAATTCAAACCTTCATGGCAGGGACATGCCATGCAACTTACATAATAGCGTACCACTTATATTCCCTCTGTATTCCATTGGTGAGTAGTAAGTTCCCCTTGAACATCTTCATCTCTCAATCCACTGCTCTGTGAAACCAACTCTAAAGAGGATGTTTCCCCAATCACTTCAATCTTAAACTGTTCAAATCTAAGGTTAACCGTTATCTTTCCCTCCTATCCACATATATATATGCCTATACCTAGAGTGTTCCCCGGGCTTTGTACAGGGTGAACCTCACTGTAAAAAATGATTGACATTGCATTTAAACTTTTCAAGATCAAAGTTGACCGGAAAGCAAGAAGCCGAGAGAAAGTTTCACGAGTCAAAAGTGAAACAGAAGAAACTGTTAGCATAGAACTTAAGGTTACATCAATACATTTCAACTGTAAAATGGCGTTGTCTTGTTGCCAATCTAGTGCGGCACTTAAATTCATAAAGTCTAGGTACGACAGAGAAAAGTTTATCAGAACAATTTCCATGAAAGTATTTATAGAAAAGGCAAAGGGAAACTTCATTACGGCGGTGGGGAGGTCGGTGAGGAGGCATGCCAGGTCAAGACCAATAACATTGCGGATTCTTTGGATTTTAACAAAAAATCTCTAAATATATAGCAGGAGCAGCATAACAGATGTGACAACAGAGTTCAAAGCAAATACGAATGATAGACTTATAAATGTGTATGGTGGATTCTAACAAGAAAAAAATTGTCTAGCACAACACAGGGAACCGACTTTACTACAAGAAGACCTAGCAATTTTTTTCAATATAAACTTTCCATTTCATATCAATGGAAAACGTTAGTCCTAGAAAGCGCAATGTATTACACTCCTTTCTATTCATACTCAGGGACGGGTAATGGGTATTGAGGCCAGTATGGTTGACCATTATTAATGTGAAGTGAGATCAAAGTTCACTGCGTGTGACATACAAATTTCGATATAAAATGGCTGAACAAAATAACCAAACAAGGCTAGGTATTTCTTAAAAATAATCAACCTAATCTTAACACTTTCTGGGTATAAAAATCGCATTCTTTGAATACCTAAGAAATTTAATATTAATGATCATCGTTTATCTATGAAGACCATACAAAACCGGTTTGGGAATTGATGACAAAATGCAGCTATATTTAAATTTGAATGCGTAAATCAGTCATCTCCACTATACTAGTGGAAGATAAAGAAATTAATATTTATTTTGATTTTACAATTTTACATAATATTTAGAAATGAGTGAATAATAGTAAATTAGTCATCTATAATAAATGTGAAGTACAAAGTCGGGCAGGATATAAGAGACATTCTTGTAGACACTATTTACATTATTCGGACTATTGTCCTCATCTTTATCGCCATATTTATTACAACGTTTCGGCCGTTGTACGCTCCGGCCTTGAAACGTTGTAATAAATATGTTGACAAAGATGAGGACAATAGTCCGAATAATGTAAATAGTGTATATAATACTTCATTTCAGAAATATAGACAGATACTGAAGAAGGCCGGTGCGTACAACGGCCGAAACGTTGTAATAAATATGGCGACAAAAATGAGGACAGTAGTCCTAATAATGTAAATAGTGTACATAATACCTCATCTCAGAAATATAGACAGATACTGATGCTTGTAGGCATAAAAGATAAAACTGCATTTATTTTGATGCTATAGATTTATGTAATATTTGTTAGAATTTTGGGGTACTATGTACTAGTGAGCTAGCCAAAATGAGCTGACTCATTTTATAGTCCACCAATAGAAGGGTTAACCAATCAGAAAGCTCAAAATATTTAATGCGACGTGTATAAAGGCAGCAATTTTGTTTTTTCTCCCAAAATATCTTCACTGCCAACCTGATATCGAAGACTTAAAGAATTAACAGCCGCTACTTTCTCCGAATATACAGTGCCAACCTCTGATAATGAAGAGATTACGGACTTCACTTGATTCCATATTCAGAGACTACGGCAAACATGGTCAACAATATTTGCAAATGAATTAATCGTAAATTAGTTAACTGCATTAAATAATAATCTCCGATTTTGACAGGATATAAGACACATGCTGGTTGATGAAAAAATACAAACTCATGTATGTTGATGTTACAGTTTTACGTAATATTCGCAAATGAATGAAATAATATTAAATCTAATCTGGACAAGACACAGGAAAATATCAAATGCTATCCACACCGTGTGAGAATAGAGATGAATCAACGTATCGCACAATATGTGAAGGCATGAAAGTTTTCAAACTAAAATGACCGAACAAAATGAGCGAACAAGGCTAGATAATTCGTAATATTAATCAACCTAATTTTAACATTTTCAGAGTATAAAAATCGCATTCTTTAAATACCTAGGAAATTAAATGTGTATTACTGGATAGGGTGGGTCATTCAATGAGAACTGTGCAAACGACTGTGAGTTCCTTTGTTATCCACACCAACGATATATGGAAAAAAGAATGAAAAAAAAACAAAAAAAAAACGAATATGATTTGAGACTGTTACAGAGGCGTCTGTACTGTTGGGGTGTTAGTGACCTGAAGTCCATGGTAATGATGATACCGACAACAGATTTTACAACAATCAATTTCTCATGAATTCTACAGAAAGTAGTTTTCCATTATGTCGGAAGAATTCCCAAGTTCATTTTGGAACTACTTAAATATATCGGTCCTCTCTTTAAAAAATATGAAAAGGGTTTGGGGAATTAACTTTTTTTATATTAGCATTCCTTAGACTATCCTAAGAAACTTGTCAGAATCAAAAAATATTGATTTGTTATGGAATTAAAAGGGGTCCTGTTTATAATATCGATACAGTATTAAATCGATCCCTGATTTTTTTTAGAGTTATCAGACATAGTTGTTTTACGTACGAAAACTGATATTTTGAGTTGGGGTGTGCTAAAAGATTTCTTTTAAATAAAAATCAAACGAATATATACATTTTAATTAAAGAACAAAAATGTACCTACATTAATAAAATTATGTATCCCTGTCTTCTTCATTTAGGATAAATAATTATTTTCCTCAAATGTACCTCTGAAAAAAATTCTTTACAAAAACAAGTTTTAAAAAATATTTTTCGAGAAAAAGCAAAAAAAATCATCAATAGATTAATTCGTTTTTTTACGGTTTATCAACCCTTTTCAGGTTATTTAAAGCCAGAAAATATTTTTACATTCTAAGATTTTTTTCGATAATAACGATTTAGCAGGATATAAGACACATGCTTGTAGACTGCATTTATTAACGATTATCTTGCTAATTAACCCGTAGATGGGGGAGAAGAGGTTGATTCATACATTTCCAAAGTGTATTTGCTTGTAAGTGAATATAACAAACCCAACGGGAATTGGAACATGGCTCTTTGATTAATAATTCCGAGCCACTATCCATTAGACAACCCGCACATCCGAACTTACAGCACCTGGTATTACCAAGCGGTCACCCATCTAGGTACTGAGCTGGCTCGACGTTGCTTAACTTCGGTGATTGTACGGGAACTGATGTTTCAACGTGATATAGCCGTAAGTCTAAAAAATTCAAGAACATTTAAAAATTACGCAGATATCAAAGACGATAAAAAGTTTCAAACTAGACATTTGCAAATAACAGCGAAGCGACTTTATCAAAATCCAATACCTCTGTAAAATTCAGGGATTGATTTGATGTTGTATCTATATTATAAACAGAACCCCCTTATAAATAGATTTTTAAATAACTAATATTTTCGATTTTGACATTTTTTTTATCAGTTCACTCCAAGCAGCGTCCACGTTCTTATTTCTCGACGCGGTTTTTTTCTTTACTTGTGAGCATGCATGGCGCCCTTTCCCAGCTTTTGATAAATATCGATTAGAATGAAGATTGAAATGCAACGTCGGGTGATCATTAGCCGATCAGGGGAAAGCACGGGCGAGGAACGTGTTGTGTGTTTACAATAGAAACAAAACCAGAATGGGAGGCAGACACAAAGATTCAGAATACCTGACAGACAGAGAAAGTATAGGATCGTAAGCTAACAGTAGCATAGCTAAACTAGTAATGGTCATTGACAATAGGCCTAGAAAAAAAATAGAAACCGCAGGCCGCATGTAGCCCTAGAAGCTACCCAGTGTGGCCCGTGGGTGATTTTCATATATTTTTTAAGCATTTCACCCCAAGAGAATCGGAAGTACCACTAGTACGCAAGGGGCTTCAGAGAGTGTAAGTAAGGGAAAAGATCGAGTATAGAGGGGATTGTGTGCGTTATTTGCCATTGGAGAATATGATACTCACCGGGCGGACAGAGGAAAGACAGACAAGGGAAAGCAACGCGTAACCTACCTAGTGGGCTTAAGCAATTGGATGATGGAACAGTGTTTAGGAGAAATAGCAAATGGACAAAACATATTGAGCTCTACAAGGAGGGTGGGAAATGGAGAGCCATGATCACCTACGCCCTGGTTGGGGGGGCGGACACGGCATATAAAAGAAGAAGAATGTTGAATGTGTTAATATTCTTCAACTTTTTAACAAGAAAAATCTCAAGACGATGTTAAAATTCCTGGGACACGTAATGAGAAAGGAGGGCTTGGGGAATCTGATACTCACAGGGTGGATAGAGGAAAAGAGAGACAAGGGAAAGCAATGCGTGACATACTTAGCGGGCTTAAGCAAGTGGATGACTGAACATGGTTTGGGAGAAGTAGCAAAAGGACAAAACATATTGAGAGCTACAAGGGATAGGAGGAAGTGGAGAGCCATGATCGCCTACATCCTGAAGGGACACTGCACAAAAAAAGAATGGATAATTTTTTGGCGTTCACCCGAATAAATTATTGTTTAACCAATAACATACTATACAAAGCTATCGTAACTAACTGCGTGAGAAAAAAAATTTTTTTGCTGCATTTTTTTTTTTTTTTTTTTTTTTTTAGGCTTGATTTTATTCAACAAATATTTGACAGTCTTTATATCAAATTAATCTATTTAACACTCCGTTGAAAAGGAAAAAGAAATAATTTTCGCGACATCCTTCTCTCTACATTTGTTTCTATCTAACTAATACTCTCTGTCTCTATCTCACTCTCTATATCCGTTTCTTTCTCAACGATACTCTCTATATTTCACCCATATTCTCTATATTTGTCTCTATCTCACTCACTATATTTTTTTCTCAATCATACTCTCTATATCTGTCTCTGTCTCACTCAAACTCTATCTCTCTGTATCTCATACTCTTTATATCTGTCTCTATCTCACTCTCTATATTTGCTTCTTTCTCAACCACACTCTCTGTATCTCTCTATCTCACACACTATATCTGTCTCTCTCTCTCTCACTCATACTCTCTACATCTGTCTCTCTTTCACTGATACTCTCTCTCTCTCTATCTCACAGTCTATATCTGTTTCTGTCTCGCTCACTCTCTACACCTGTCCTTATCATACCCATATTCTCTATATCTCTCCCATACTCTTTGTATCTCTCTCTCTCTCTCTATCTTACGCTCTAAATCTGTCTGTCTCTCTCGCTCATACTGTCTACATCTGTCTCTCTCTCTCACTCATTCTCTCTGCATCTATCTGACTCTCTATATCTATCTGACTCTCTATATCTATCTCTGTCTCACCCACTCTTTAAATCTATCTCGATTTCACTCAGATTGATCTTGCAGCACGTAACTAATTTTCTGCCATCAATACGACCCTTCGCATATTTTTAATTATGCAGAACTAATTTAACCCGATGACATTGCAGAGTTAAATTTTGATGACTGAAAAAGGCAGTTACATTTTTTTTTATTCTTTTCAATTTGAATTATCTACGCTCTGTAAAATAGCAATAGGTAATGACTCAGTTGAAACAATAAGTTTCATTAAGCCTTCCTTTTAGTGCAGGTGTTCGTATCGTCTGTGATATTTTTTAGTTCCAAATTAGGTCAGTTTATTACTATAATCTGCGTCTATACCAACTGAACTATTTGAAAATATGCATACGGTGACATAACTTGGCACTCGATATCTACACGCACTAAAAGTGCAACATATTTTGCTGTTAACTGACACGAAGTTTTTACTACTAATGAAGGAAGAGTGTTATGGAGTGATTTCACAGTGGAGGCTTGTATTTTGTACTATGTCGGTCCTAAAATAGGTTCGATGTACAAAACGTTAGGAACTTGATTAATAGGTATAACGCAGAGTAATCTAGTTGTGGTCGCTGATACTTTAGTATCCGACTAACGGTCGTCCGGTATCGACTCACTGACCGACCCACTGAGCGACTGACTCGTTACTCTTACTACTCCTACTTATCATAGGTGGGAGAGTCTATTAACTATAGAATAGGTGTGTTCCACTATAACAACCTGGAAAATTTGGTACTCACAGGTTATACTAAAGGCAAGCAGGGGGGGTGTAGAAGAAAAGAGCAGACGGTCTACTTAATGAGATGTGAAAATAGATGACATAATATGGATTAGGGGGCATGACAAAAACACGAAATTCTCACAACACGAAAATGTACAAAGGACAGGAAATTGTGGAGATTCATGAAGGGACACGACAAGAAGAAGAAGAAGAAGAAGGAGGAGGAGGAGGAGAAGAAGAAGAAGAAGAAGAAGAAGACTAGTTTTGAACTAAATCATTTGTTTACTATAATTATTCACGGTTAGATAGATAGATAGATAGATAGATAGATAGATAGATAGATAGATAGATACGAAAAGATGGAGATAGATAGATAGATAGATAGATAGATAGATAGATAGATAGATAGATACGGACCGATTCAGATAGATACGAGCGGATTGAGATAGATAGATAGATAGATAGATACATAGATAGATAGATACATACATACATACATACGAAAAGATTGAGATAGATAGATAGATAGATAGATAGATAGATAGATAGATAGATAGATACTATGACCATAGTCTGACAGAAGAGCGTTCGCGGTAGATATCTCGAAAGCTTTTGACAAGGCGTTTCATCGAGGGTTGCTACGCCAAATGATATGAGAAAGCAATAGAAAGCCTAAGTTGAAAACATTGTGTCTCCCGCGAGTTCTGTAAAATTATAAAAATAAAAAAAAAGATTCACAATAGACTCAAAACACAAGTGCCGACTATCTAAATGGCCCTGAAGTTATCTCATCTTTGTCAGATATGGCTAAGATCTTTGCAATGATCTTTACGCCTAATTAAACAATAAAATCTTCCCTAACTGGTGCCTACCCCTCTCGCGAAGCACAATCATTGCTATACCTCTACCTCGACTCGGACACTTTCTAAACTTATAAAAAGCCTTGATTCTACGAAAGCTACTGGTCCTGATAAAATGCTTATAGTTGTTAAGAACCATAGCCAAGATTTATCCCCATTCTTGGAAATATTGTTTAACTGCTGCCTGAAAGAGGAATGTTTCCCAAGTCTATGGAAGATGGCAAATGTATGCCCACTTTACAAGAATGCGGGTGAACGCTCATACCCGTCGCAGTATCAATTAACCAGCCTTCTCAATGCCATCACCAACAAGATAGTCGATCAACTCAACAGAAACAAGCTCCCGAGCGACCAACAATATTTCATACCTCTAGGCCCACACCTGATGTCTTAACTGGCATTAGGCATAGAATCAATGAAACGCTTCATAATAAATCCATCACAAGAACAATCGCCTTAGATATCTCAAAGGCCGTTGACAAGGCGTCGCTTTAGGGGATTACTACAATAACTCTCCAGTTATGGCATCTCTGGAAGATTCATCTCAGCTGTCAAGTACTTCTAAGAAGGTAGGTCCACGAAGATCGTAATGGCTAGTCCAATGTAGCCCATGTGATCAATGCAGACGTCACCAAGGCCCCAGCCTATTTCTGATTCATATTAACAATATACCTAAAACAAATTCTCAGATCTTTAGTAAATATTTATGAAGACACTAAAACCCCAGTCGCTTATCTATGGAGCTCGCACAACTTAATAAAGGAGGAACTGTCTTGTAACTTTCAAATCAATCTAGCAACTTTGATCTAACAGGCTCTAGATACTCAGCAATCAAGACGAATGGCCAAACTTTCAAAGAGGTTCCTTCGTTTAAACGTCTATTGGGTGTCAAGTCCACTCTAGATCTCAAGTGTGACACATATATACGATCCATCGCTAAAGATGCTGGGAAAATACCCGGCTCTTTATACCACTCCAGAATGTATCGAACTCCTCTGTAAATGGGGTACCACTGTCATAACTAGACTGGAGATACTAATCCTCTCTTTCCGACCTTGAAAGAGCTCAACAAAGCCTACTCGGCTTTGTGGGTGATGAATTATTTTCCACCCTACCACACCTTTCTTTCTCAAACGAAACGACTACTATATTGCTACTTCCATGGAAAATGTCCTTGCGAGCTATATTCCTTTGTTACTAAGTCTCGCCATGCCAGCTACACTGAGTCGAATCACCTTCATTCCATTTGTATTCAGTTAGCAAGAAAGAAGTTTCATTTTATCTTCCTAAGAGCCACTGTTTATTGAATAGACTGAAG